CTTCCAGAGAAGCTGCACCTTGATGCCTGCAGTTATCCTGATGACCACCTAATCTGGGTGCCATCCACAGCCATTCTTATAGTCCTTCTCCCATTGTTACTTTGGTGCTTCCACACCCATACAATCCCATTCACACCAATCAAGGTTCCCATTGCAATTCTCAAGAAAAGTAGAGACAGGTGTGAAATTATATTTACTCAGGGCCTGGTTCACTTTAATTTTGAATGTCTCCAGTGATGATGGAGGGTCCACAACCCCTCCGGGCACCTGTTCCAAAGGTTGACTCACAGTGAAGAATTCACTCATATCCCCCTTGGCTCTTTCATGGATTCCAGGGGTGGATCCAAGGCAACCTCTCATACCACACACATAGCTACCCCACACACAAAGCAAACACAGGATGATGAAGGTCTTCAGAGCCACACAAGGGACAGTAAAGTATAATGTATGAGAGGTTTGACAGTCTTTGACATCTACCTCTTGTGGTCAGGGTCAGTACAGACCACACTACTGCTTTAGAGAAGCAAAGCTAGCTTAATACCCCCTTCCGCCTTTGAGAATCCCTAAGTAATAGCATACCTGCTTGGAAATGTCGGCTGCTGCTGTAAGATTTATTAAATTCTCCCTGAGTTGCCAGCTGGGTCATAGCTTGCGGTCTAGTCACCTCTGAGAATGGCAATCTCTCTACCTCTAACATGAGGCTGGCCACTAAGGGAGTGCTCTCAGTTTTAGCAAAAGCACTTAATGCCATCTCTGCATGCCTGTCTTCATCCGTGGGCTTCTATTCATTATATGTTCACTGCCCTGTGAGCGAACACTAAAAGAAACATACAAACAAGACTGACTGTCGATTACTTTTATTTCAATCACAAATGAACTGCACTATCAAATAAAGATAAATGTTATACGTATATATTTTTACATGAACGGTCACATTTTCAGATCATTTTCTCCATAATATACTACTTTTTGGATGATTCAGATTTTCAAATGCAGGTCTAAAATACAGTGCATTTTCCAGGAAGGGTTACAGAGGAGTGAGCGTGTTGCCTCACACGCTACACTTCCATACTTCTACATACATTACTATGTATTGGGGAAAAGACAGAGATATGTGATACTTCAGGATAAAAGCTGAAATGGCAATTTTCACACTGAAAAAGAGAACTACTATCATGAAAGATACACATGAAAGAAACAACATCGGGTAGAGTACTGTTGCTAGTGACTGTTGTTCAACTGGAATAAAACACCGCATTTCCGAAGATGCAAAATAAAAGTAGCTCAGTATATTTATTTGAACATTACACTGATAAATTAACATTTTCATCTACAAGTAGCATATGTGTACAATAATATTTAGCTAATTTTATCTGATGTTTCAAGAAAAATATTCAGTCATAGCCGTGATCTACAATCAGTACTCTAAAGGGATATTGATGGAGGGAGAAAGAGTAACACACACATACAAACACAGACATTCCCTGCCTGTAAGCCCACTTCAGCCAGAGGACACAAGATGTCTCTATTTAAATCCTGATTCAAGGCTGAAGAAAAGAAAGATTTAACAGAATTATCAGGGAGTTACTGAAATAAAAGAGAGGCTTCGTTTAAACAATTTAAAGCTGGGACACAAAGCCATTATCACAATGCCTCGTATCAATTATTATGTTTGCTCTTTCTGGCCTGTCACAATGATGAACAATAATGATGGAACAGTGCGAGATATTCACCATTTAGCTAACTCCCTCAGTCTAGGCAGGGGATCAAAGATGTCTCTATGCTCTTCCTTAACAGCCGCCCTTTTCGGTTCCAAACGTAACTAAGAGAAACCTTAAAACTTGTGTGACCTGTGCATATCCCAGAGCCTAAAAGCCAGCTGGGGGAACTGAATGGCTACAACTCAACATCTCAGTCTTTCCAGGGCAGCTGGCTCTGCGGGGAGGCAGGGCGGAGATATACCACTGCAGTTCCCCTCCTCTCAGGCCTCCAGCACACCAAGGACCATCTCTGGTCTGGCAGTGCCATTCCCTGCTTATGTAAAAGAAAAATTAGGGAGGGGGGGGAAAAAAAAGTTTCACCGACGTCTGGAGCTGTACACAGGAAGTGAGCTTTGTCAGTGTCCTCGCTGGAACCAGTGGGTTTAACGGAACAGACCCCCAATCTTTGCCCATTTCCTACCAACACAATTCCCTGTGGTTTCTCCATTATAACTTCACTCACCAGTGAATGTATGATGCTTGCTGTTTGCTGCCTGGCACACTGCATTTCTTTTTGCAGATGGGTGAATAACCATTCATATCTCTGACTAGAGCCTTTCTTTTGCTAGAGATATGCAACTGGATTTGTGTGGGGCAGCTGCTCAGGATTTGTGTGCCAGTCTGAGTGGCCTAGTATGTCACGGTGGACAAATGACGTCATTTCTGGAGCAGGCTTCACAGGAATTGTGCCACTGCTTAGTGCTATGAATGCTGATGAAATTGCTTTCCCAAGATTTGTTTCTTCTCTCGGAACAATATGATCTTGCAATATATGGGTTCAGTTTGATTTTTTTCTTTTTTCTACAATTCTTTCAGACTTTGCCTACTATCTGAGCACTCCACACTCCTTCAGGGTATTCTCTAGAAAATTTGATCTAAACATTGCAGTGTATTTGGCACTGCGAAGTTAGGTATATTAACAGGCATACTGCCAGGATAGAAATTTATTCTCATCCACATGCCAGTCCAGAAATCCCACTCCTAATTCATATTTCTTCCCCTAAGTCCCATATCTTCCATCTTTTCCACTGTAAAAGGAACAAAACCCCACAAAACCTCCCAGCAAATCATTCCAATCCATTTTGACTCAAAACTGATGCCAAATAATATTAATCTCCTTTTCTGGAATTTTCCGACGTACCTTACTCTGCTGCACTTCTGTTTGTTTAGACCCTAACTTCCGCACAGCAAAAGCTGTATTGCATCTTGTCCATCAAGGTACTGCTAATGTTTTAACAACAAATAATGAACCTAATCCATAGGGTATGTGCATCACTATAACACACACATGCACACTTGAATTTTAATTTTATGCATATACAAACATCAAAGCAAATGTTGATCGAAGCTGTCCCTCATCAATACTCCCAACGTCTCAAGACGAATGCAACTCTTCAAACAATCAAAAGAGCTCTGGGCTAGAAGTAATAGGGTGATATTAACCTTACTGTTCAATACAGACAGTCATGTGCTGACCACTGTATGTATATTTGTTTTTTTGTCTCCCAGAAGTTATTATCTGCCATAGCATTATTTCATCCTCCTTTTTGCTCTTTATCAGAGCTTCGGTTAACATTGCTAGTGTGTGAGCAACAAAGTAAAACAACTAGAGTAACTCCTTGAAACACTTTTTTAAAAAGTATCTGTGTTCCAATGAGGTTGTTTTTTCTGTACTCACACAGACAAGATCATAAACGAAAAAAAGGTGTGACAAAACTAAGCATAAAGACACAATACTGCTATTGAAAGAGGCACAGAGTGAATCAGTAAAAAGCAGGAGGCACCAAATACACAGCAATATTGTTTGTTACAAGTTATTATTTTACAGGCAGTGGATAGATACTTATTTTTTGAACACATACATAGATTTATGTCCACAGCTGCTTTTTACTGATCATACTGTGTGAAATTGCTTCTCTTCCTCGATCAACAGGCAAACCAAAGGTGACAGGGATGAACTTGTTTGTACAGTATTTTACAGCACTGTATGTAGGCAATTTCCATGCATGTACTGTGATGTCAATATATACCCTTGGTCTATCTGGCAAATATAAATATACACATGTGTATATTTGCATAATTTAAAATATTATATCTCTCTTGAGAAGGTAGCATATATAAATGTTTGTGTGCACGTGTGTGGACTAGAATTGTGGAAAAGCTGTTACCATCTCAAGAGACCTACAGAATTTCAAATACACATGCAAAATGTGAGCTATCTATATAAATGACAAACAGCGAGTCAAGCAACATATTAATGCTATTAAAACTGAAAACAAATTACAAGACTGGCACAACTGACATTCATTTTTATGAATAATTTTACTTTGCTGAAACAGAAAAATGGGCAGACAACTTATTTTTTAACAGGGAAAGAAGTTCAGAAGGCTGTTCAACTTACTCATAGCCGTATCTGAATAACAAAACTGCATTAAAAAGAACCACCCCAGAAAGTTTCTTTCTATGTGTTATTGTGGCATGCCTCTCTCCTCCCTGTCACAAAGTCAATGAGAACTCATATTTTAATAAGATTACGTCAACATGCATTACTGAAGCCTTACATTTACTCTGATGAACACATTGAAAATTATCCTCAGTCCCTAAAAAACATACTTAAGCCTGAAGCAAATGTTTTGGCCGTGTTACAACAAATTCACGAAAAGAAGCTTCATAATGCAAATGTTGCCAGATCCATAAGCATAGCACACTACTGTGGGACAAGTTATCTTGGGAGATATACAAGGGAAAGGTAGAGAGACACCATCGCACTCAATGTTTCTCGATTCCAGGGTTATAAAATGCTTTACCTTGTCTGTCAAGAGGGCATAGCAGTCATGGAAAAGGTTCACTTATTCTTAAGAGATGAATGACATAAGATTTACTGGAAGCTTATTTCATTTGGGCTTTTTGTGGGATTCATCCATATGCAATATTATTACTTTGTTTTTTACATCACCAGCACAGTGTTAATTTTCAGCTCTGCCTTGCTCTTTCTACATCTTGTAAGAGCTGTTTCTCTGTTTTCCCATCCAAGAAAGCACCCTTCTTCAGATCCCTACCTGAGCACATGTACAAGTACATGCATGCTTAAGTTCCACTGAAAGTAGATGTACGCTCAAGTGTGATCCTATTGTCTTAAGAAGATACTTTACATTCTAGGATATGATTTGGCAAAAGACAACATGTAAAATAGAGATGTGATGCTTGAGAAGGCATTTTGGTGAGCTTCCAAGGACTTACCTGCCAGCTGCCAAGCTGGTTCACCGCTCTGGGCTTGATCTATTCATCCATCACCAAAGTGTCTGAATGACTGATAACAAAAACAGATGATTCATCGCTGGTATGTTCTCTGTTCTCTCTTTGTCCTGTGGAAGACATGGTATTTTACGATTAAGTTACTAATATTTCAGGCTAAGAGAAACTTATGGTATAAGGAAGACAGTTTTCATCTTACTGGATAGATACTTGTTCCTATTTTTAAAAGATGGAGGGGGCCAGAAATGAAATTTTTCATTGTTAGCTGATCTTTAAAAGAGCAGGTACCCATGCCTATCTTCTCAAGTATAAAATACCACCTAATGGCCAGTGAAGAATAGCGTAAGCTTTACAGTCAGAAGGCACTCTCCCTTTTTGTCTTTTTAGATAGATCTGACTAGTAAGATCATATTTCATTTCCATTTACTTAACAAGCGTTATTCAAGGTGTTGACCTTGAACTTAATAGCACAAACATCAAGGACTTCTCCTCCTTATACATCTCCAAGATAAGACAACTTCAGATCTGCCATGGAGATGGCAGAGAAGAAACGAGAAATACATTAGAATATTGAAAAATGCAGAGCACTTCCACCCAACAATTTTGCTCAGGTGATACAAAGTGAGAAATTAACAAAAGAAAATAGCATTCCTCCTTAACATTAGAATACTTTCTAGTTGCATTGTTATTGTATCAGATTGCTATAGGGAAAGGTATGACTATTCACATAAACTGGATACCTAAATCACACTGTGAATGGAGCACGTAGATTGAAAATTCAGACATGTCTCCACCAGTGCCTGCCAGAAGGGATCATCAAATAGGCATATTTTAAAGAGGGGGGCTGAGGACTAGACTAATATCAAGTCCACTGGTGAAAACAGTTAAAATAGCTCCTCTTAAACGATATGGATTGCACAAAGATTTGGCAGAAAAGTAGATAATTAAGAGGACAGGATTATTTGGCAAATCAGGCTCATTAAAATAAAATGCACCTGAATACAACCAGATAGAGAATCTGGAATTATCAAACAAGCCCTTGAGAACGGGGAAGTACCTAATGGAAAACAAATAATCCAAAAGTATACAGAATCATAGAATAGTTTGGGTTGGAAGGGACCTCTAAAGGTCATCTAGTCCAACCCCCCTGCAATGAGCAGGGATATACAGAAGTCACACAGGACAAATCACTGAGTAGGAGATCTTAGCAACATGGATTTAGCAACGTGGGATGGGTGAGGAGGGAAACACAGCTGTTTTTTATCTCTAGATACCATTACCATCTATGCTTTGGTGAGAGTCAAACTAAGGTATTTTGCAGTGTTCTGCTGCTCACATTCTATAAAGGATATCGAATGATTGGACAGTTTCTCACAGAAACAGTGAGATCAGTCACAAAAAAAAATTATTCAGGAGCTGAATAAAACTCCTTCAAGTGAAGGCTTTAAAGAGCTCGATCTGTTTAGCTTATCAGAGAATGAGAGGCAACTTGATTACAGGAATAAAGCATCAGGTACAAAAGCGCTCTTTGATTTAGTGGACACAGTAAAATGTCTGTGATACACTGAAAGCAAAGCCAAGTACTGGAGTGTTACAAAACATCAGCTTTCCACTGAATATACGTATTACAATACAGTTTTAGTCATACAATCACACATCATTTTCTTCCACAGGAAGTGTCACTGAGGGTGCCGGATAGTCGGTGGTTATTTAGCAAATGTTTTGTTTTATTACCATTGTTCAATTTGTGGCCCACAACTCACTCATTGTACCATTTAAACCTAGCACCAAACACGGCACTGTTTCTTTCTTCGACTTTCATTTGGCCGTCACTTTAACAGCATATGAGTGTAACTCAGTGAACTGAAAAAGATACAGGAAGATAAAAGCCCTCATTACACACGCACGTTATACAACACTCCACCTGGACAAAGGGTAATTCAAACAGTAGCCAAAATTTCTGCTAGTTAAATAAATTGAATATTTTCAGTAGTGGTAGAAGCACTGGTAAGCCTTTTTAAACAATTCCTCCAAGTAAAGTCTTAAAAAAGCTTAAAGAGTGAAAGGCCAGTATCAGCTTGAGTTTTGAGCAGGTTTGTTTCCGCCACAGAATACTACTGTGGAGATACTCCAGGTCCTCCATCATGTATTAGGAGGCAAATGGCTTCTGCAGGTTCTTGGTAAACACCTGCAGGGTAGCTCCTCTGGGGCAAGCCATACTTTCACATAAAGCTATTCCACAGTAGAAGCTCAAGGTCAGATGCTTTTTCAAGCGGAGTCTGATCAGGTCACTACTTGTGAGTCACCAAGGGGAGAATATTTCCTTTCCGTTCACAGGAGCACATCTCCTGCCTGATGTTTACAGATTGACTATCCATCTATCATCTGAAACAGGAGTTTTCTTTCTTTGCCACGAACTGCCTGCCAAGATGAGTTCCCCTGCCTGGAACACCACCTGCTCTCAAATTATCATGGAAGGGTTTGGGTTTCCTGACCAACACCTTTTGCCACAGATAGTGCCAATTAAGCCTTTAAGCCTTACAAAAGGGGGCCTAAAAGAAGCCTTTGCCCCCTAAACTGGGCCATCCACTGGGCAGAACTGGAGTACACAGACTAATACCTACAGATTTTCCTGGATGGGTCTCCACCATCCTGTCCTAGTCCCAGTCCCATCCCAGCCTGACTCCTCATACCAGTCCCAGGTAACTCTCTCTCACCGTGCCCCTTGACTCCAAGGTTACGTCTCCATCATGGGTTGCACATCAAACCCCACCTTGTTCCTCACTGCAGCCCCAAACACCTTCAGGTTTTCTCAAGTTTCCCTACAGCTATTCTCAAGTCCAATTTGTAAAACCCCTTTCTTTCTACCAGGCTGCCATTTCTCCTAATAACTTGGGCAATTCCTAATGGAGGCAGGAAAGATGAAAGATAGTCTGTCCCCACCCCTCTCCCAACTTCTGAACACTGCACCACCAGCTGTAGTGATCTTTATAGATGCTACTTTCAAAATGCAGTACATATCTACAAAACACTTGCAAGCCTGAGTCTTTCAGAGAACCACAACTTCATTACACTTTGGCTAAATTTCCTGGAAATGGCAAGAGACATCAGGCAAACCCTAAATGAATTTCAAGCCTTTGCTCAACACTTTGGAGATGCTGGAGCATCTCAGGTTTTCACACTACCTGGACTAAACTTAAATTGCTGCTGTGTAATTTAGACTTCTAATGAAAGCTTGCATAGAGCTTGTCTGTAGAGTTAATAAAGACTTCCATCCATTTGGACATTTACCAAAGTTAAGCTCTCACACGAACATCCTTTCATTTAAAAATAATTTAGCTGTAAATCACCATCAGATCTGAAAAATTGGATTCACCTGTCAATAGTGAAAAGGGTAAAATGAGAAAAGGAAAGAAACGTGTGCTTGATTATAGCATTTATTATGCCTAAAATGCTGTGCTGCATCATCTCTGCAGGAAAGCCAAGCCAAATGAAACCACAGAGGATTTGGTTTAAAAAATTGTAGAGCTGTAGTAGGTTAAAAGCTGTATATCTTCATATCTGTACTTCTTCATGCGTCTTCGCAAAGGAATTTGAAACCTAAGGCACGTTTTCAGGATGCCTGAGCTCTTTGCAGCTTACCACAGCAGTCTCACACTTGCAAATGTTTTCTTTCTACTAGAAAGTCACAATTATCATATGTTACACTACCCTAGGGTACACACCCGCCCATACTATATTACTGTCAGAACAGTCATTTAGATTGGATAGGAAGCACTTCAGTACACAATGCGTGCAAAGGCCACACGAGAATTTCCTGAGCTTTGCTCTCCGAGGATCCTTAATACTCCTTAGCAACCTTGCTGGAAGGACTGAAATCACAACCTCTAGACAGCAGGTGGTAAGTGTCCCTGTGTATTCGAAATAGCTGCTGGCTACAGCAAGCACACATACATCTCCAGAAAAACATTTAACAGAGAGTCATCAAACCTAGGATATAGACAAACATGTTAAACTCAGACTGCTTAAAGCAAGAGGAATACTGGCAAGCAGACTCCTGCAGTGCCTTATATCACTGTACAGAGAGCACAGCTTTGGAGGATGCTGTCATAACAATTTGAGAACAGGCTTCCTATAAACCTAGTCTGGACAGAGGAGCACCAGAAAGGTGTGAAATGACAGTTTGAGAGGCTGTGATCTAAGTGCTAGAACTGCTTAGACCATTAGAAGCCCTTCTACATGTCAGGCTGTATTACAGGACATATGATCTATAGTAAGCTACCACGTTCTTTCCTGGTACTGCCTCAACTACTACACTGCTTTTGCCTCTGATAAACTGCATCAAGAGGAGTTTGCGATTGTTCCACATGGAACAATTTCAGGACTGAAATGTCACATGGCAGCATAACCATAAATATTTTGCCTATCCCTTTGGCTTTTAAGGCAAGATTGTATTGAGTTCTAATGTTTCTCATTCTCTGACATGCAGCTAAGGAACAGAAGTCCCCAGGTCTTTATTATACATAGCCGACCTTTTATTTCCTGTTGGGTGCATTCAATTTCAGATAGCCCAGAGTATGGTCTTGAAATGCTATTTTCCATCATGCTAAACGAATCTGAGGTCTCCATTTTTACACATCTAATAATCTCATGAGTTTGCTTTTCAGTGTTGCATGAAAAGCAGAGGTCATTCAGAAGGTTATAACTTTTTCAACAAAACAACTGTTGTGACACTTCCGAAAGAAGCAAAGGACAGACACTTATAAACACTGGGCAAATTACTGCAATCAACATAAGAAAAAAATTCCGTTTTATTTCTTAATAAACTAGATCTAAATTCCACTGTATCTATTGCTATGATATTACTTGTATAAATTTTATATTGAGAAATGTTTAACCATGATTACCACTCATTTAAAACTTAATTTCAGTTATACATCTCTTGTAAGAGAAGCCTGTCTCCATTTTATATACTACTTGTACTCATGACTGCTGAAGAGAGCGGTATCTTTTTTTTCCACCCTATAAAATATTTTCATATTGTTTACTTAAATGGTATTGGTAGCTCCACTTTTCATTTAATTATATTTATATACCTCTCAAACTTCTCCCAGTCAATACTTAGCCTTTGAGTTCCTATACCCTGATATTACCTTATGTATACTGTTTTAAATATCAAATAATCTATTTAGATTACATATTACTAAAATTTCAATTCTTGTCTACCCACTCAACAACTATGATAGCCACAGTCTCCTCACCTCACATACCAGTTCGCTCTTTTTTTTTTTTTTTCTTGTTCACATCCAAGAAGATTCCGATCTACATCATCCTGCTGGCTGCCTACATGTCACAGTACAATTCTGCTTTGGCCAGTCAACTAGTTTACTGCCTAAATCACTCAGCAAGGAACCATAATGGCTGCTCCTTAGCACCTCACCATGCAAGGTCAGCCGTTCTGTTATCAGTGGGAAGTTGCTCTGAATTTTAAACTTCTGCTGAAATGCATGGCTATTCACACAGGCACTACGATGCAGACGCTATTCCTACAGCCGCTACAAGCAGTGCTCAGGCAACTGTCCTGCTAATGACCTTCCCACCGACGCTCTGACATTAGTATCTCAAGAGCTACCGGTGGCTAATTCTTGACTTGCCCGAGATAAGCAAACGCCTCATGTTTTATCATCTCTACCATCTTACCTTAGCTCCGTGTCCTAAGGAGCTAGGCTGACTCTGAAAGCTACAGACTCAATTCACATAAAACCTCCTGGTACGCTTACCCCTAAAAACAAGCAGTAATTTCGTGATTACTCTTCAATACCGATGCTTTTGATTTTTAAAAAAAAAAAAAAAAAAAACCCACAACCCAAAAAAACAACGCATTTTTAAGCTATCATCCTATTCAACACTACTTTATAAAGCTGAACAATTTTAACTTTGTAACCCTCCCGAAATTTCCGAGGGGGGGCGGGGCGGGGGGCAAAGCACATTTTTATAACAACAACAATAAAAAGATTATTATTACCATGGGTAATCTTAATTGAGGAGGGGAAGCGCTGTCCGCGGCGGAGGGGGAAAGCCAAGCCCACCGGTTGCAAGCCCGCCCGTATCGGTCCCCCACCAGCCCGCCCCTGACGCCGCCGCCGGGAGGGCGAGCCGAGCCTGGGCGAGCCGAGCCTGGGCGAGCCGAGCCTGGGCGAGCCGAGCCTGGGCGAGCCGAGCCTGGGCGAGCCGAGCCTGGGCGAGCCGAGCCTGGGCGAGCCGAGCCTGGGCGAGCCGAGCCTGGGCGAGCCGAGCCTGGGCGAGCCGCGGCTATCCGGGAGCTGAACCGCCCCAGTGCCCCCGGCCCCGCCGAGGCCAACACGGAGAGGGGCCCCCTCGGGCACCCCCCTTGCCCGCTTTCCATCACTTGCCACAGGCGCGGCCGGAGGGACGGACGCGTCCCCCTCGCTCCCCGTCGGCCGCCCGCCGCCGCCCCTCAGGCGACGCCCGACCCCCGGGGGAGCCTCTCCCTGCGCCGTCACCCGGCGGCGGCTCCCCGAGCCCCGCACGGCGACCACCGAGGGAGCCCCTCGCTCCGTACCTGTCTGGGGCGCCGCAGGCGAGCGGGGTGTCAGCGGGAGAGGGAGCCTCGTGTCCCGTGTGTGTCCCCCCCCCCCCCGCCCTCCTCAGCCCCGGCGCGGCGGCGGGCAGCCGGCTTTGTTACTACTCGGAAGAGCCGCGGATCAGCGCTGTCGCTATAGAAACTGGCTGCGCCTCGAAGCGACACCGGCGAGTGGCGGGAGGGAGGCGGGAACCGGGCGGAGGTGTGGGGTGAGGAGGGAGCTGTTCATTCAGGAATATCCTGGCCAATTCCTCCTCCTCCTCCTCCGCCTGCAGCCAGCCCCCGGCACCGCCCAGCGCGGCCCGGGGCGGGGAAAGGCGACACGCCGCCCTCACCTCAACCTGCGGCCCCGGGGCCGGCGTGGAGCCCCTCTGCTCAGGGCGCGCATCGCCGTTGCTTCCTCCTCCACCTCCTCAGGGAGACTTACCCCCCCCCCCCCCCCCTCAAAATAAACGACACCCAGGGGTGCACTCACACTCTAAACCCTGGCTCTCCCACTCCGGCAGCGGGCCCCAGGGCAGCGGGGGCCCGGGGCGCGCCCACACCACGAAATGGCGGGTGTTGACCTGGACTCCTGCCCGTCCTCCCGCCTTTGCACCCTGTTTGGTGCCAGAGCACCGCCACACACACACACACAAAAAAAAAAAAAAAAAAACAAAAAAACAAAAAAAAACAAAAAAACAGGACCAAACTTTTTTAGCAAGAGCGTTTCATTGTGTAAAAGTGATGTAGCTCCACGTTCGCTGGTGAGGAGCTGCTTTCGTGTGGGAACGAGCTGCTGGAACCCCTCTGGACAGCAGCTTGTGGGTGCAGAAGCGAGGTGGAAGGGTGCAGTGGGGTTTCTGTCTGCTGCGGTGCGTTTGGTTTGATGCAGCAGGCCCTAAGGGAGGAGGAGGAGGAGGAGGAGGGCCCATTGTCCTGGGTGCGGTGCAGGCAGCAAACGGGAAGGTGGGAAACACGGGTGCTGGGAAGAGAGAGGAGGGAAAGGCTGAGAATGGATCAGGGGAAAGCGGCCATTTGGGTGCGAGATACCACTGTGTCCTGACACTTAGGAGATTCAGGGTCTCCCTTGCGTTATCCTGGGTATGGGGGTCGGCATGTTTTCCTACAGCAACAGCCTACAGCTCATCATGGATGTCCATCTTCACATCCTCCCTGCTTGGCACGACTGGCTAAAGCTGAGGCAGTCCCTCCTTCTTCCTTTCCTCCTCGTCCACCGAAGGCTCAGTGGTATCAGTTTGTTAAGTCTGTTCTCTTGTAATTTCTCTCCCTGAAACATTCTTATTCTCTCTCTGTCAATAGTAGTAAAGTTGATAAAACATCATTCAAAGTGCAAGATGGATCTCTCCTTTTCTCTTCCCCTGGTTTATATTGATTAAATTGGCCTTCCAAGTTTGCCAAACAGAAGAAACCCAACAGGCGAGGCGCAACTCAGAGGCAGCATTATCCATCTCAGCTACTGCCACTGCTAAGCTACAAGGGATGACTATTAAGTATCAGCACTGCAAGTCACTGCGAGCTGACAAATCTGTGCCAAGAGCTGCTGGCACACTGCAGAAAATACTCTTCAGGAAGAGTTTGCCAAAGACAAGAAGGACCCCCCACAGGAGCTCTTCACAAAACAGTGCAGTTTACAGCAGAACTGCTGGCAGACTGTAACACAGCCAAACGACAATGACGGCACAAATGAGGGAGACAGAAGGTTGGGTATGAGAGACAAGGGGTCACCATGTATTTATCTATCTAATTTGCATGCTAAATACTAATTCTGCAGTTAAAAACAGATAAATCCAGTCAGAGCACAGCAGAGCTGAATTAATTTTATTTGTTTTACCTTATAGCGAATTTGCTTGCTCTAAGGTGGAAAGCGTAACATTAGAGAAGTGAAAGATCTGCCACATGCTGGGTACTATAGCATAGGAGAAATTTTGCTAGTTTTTCCTGTATATAAAAAAAAATTGTCCTTTTAATCAAATGGAGTAACAATATTCATCATAAATATAGTTTTTTTTAAAAAACTGAAAGCTAGAAAGCAATTCATATTCTAAAACCTTCTGGGAGAGTAAGGGTGCTTTTCAACGTAAGATGTATTTAGAAAAGAGAGAGTTTAGCAACAAAGATATTGCTAAAGGAAATAAATGGTCATTGTTTCGACAGCAAGAAACACAGTGCTGTCACTATGATGCCTATTCATTTTTCTTACAAAAGAATTTCATAGCACTTTCTCCCAGGTGGAAGTCCAGGAAGGGCTAGAAAAATGATAGGAAAGACTTACTATCTGGTCTTCACTGATACAAAGCACCTGAGTACTGATATTATTTTGTGTGTTCCTGGAGCTTTTAATCTTCAATGTGGTTTTACACACAGACTTCTAAACATGTTTGCTTCTCTAGGCTGAAGGTAAAGAATAGCATTTCCAGAAGGTGCAGTTGAGACAGCTGGGTGATATCTTAAGACTTGCAGGCAGGCACAATCAGATGTGTCTTAGTATTGTGCAGATATCTGTGCCTTCTAGATTACTTTTCCTATCAAGGTTACGACCATATTTTACTGGCAGAGATGAGCCATTTCTACAGATGGGTATCACCTGTATCTTTAGGACAGATCCATAGCCTGTTCACCCAGTCAAGTGCTTGTAAAGTGTTTTGCCTTTTTTTTTTTTTTTTAAAAAAAAAACAAAACAACACTCTGTTTGAAATGTATTTAATTTTGACTAGCTTAATGTCATTTGGAACCTAGCTTTTGTAATAGCATTGACAAAGTAGGGCACTAACTGCAAATGTGCCAAGTTGATGCTTGGGCTGTTTGCAGTCACAGTATTTCTATAGTTATAGTGAGGGGAATGAAACATAAAAGATGTTAAACTCTTGCAATGCAGTAACAAATCAGTATTAAATCAGCATCCTATTTTGTAGCATTTTAACACTAAGCTATCCTGCCTTTGCGTTTTGACATTTTGTCCCTATTTCTCCCAGTTTGTATTAAGAACAATATTGTCAACTGGAATGCTTTTCAGCAACATTTTTTAGGGAACATATACTTATTTGGGAGAGGATGATGAGAGCAAAAAAAAAAAAAAAGAACATTTTAAAAAATGTGCGCTGATATGACCATTGCCAGCTTCTGACTCAGCAGTGGCATGTGCGTCTTTCTCAGCGTGGAGGATTTTTTCCAGTAACGCGGTGTACTGAAGGAGTTCATCATGGAACACTGAACAAGTGTTAACATTCACGTGGGGCAGAAGAACAGCTCTTGCTGGTGTCCCCTCTCTTTTGCGCTTTGTCCTCTCTCCAAACACCATGCATCCCACCAAACGCTTATTCCACTGGACTATTTGTTCCCTGTAAGCAGAGCAAAGTATCCTTAGCACAGCACTGCAACATTAAATAAAGAATGCTTCAACTGAAGGATTGAAACACATTCTTCACACATCACAGTGAAACAAAAGAGGGGGGTAAGCTGTGGTAAAATTGAAGTAACAATATTTAATACTAATAGTAATTATCATTACTACTATTATTACTAGGGTTTTGGTGCAGCTTCTAGGCTGTACCAGCACCAGGCACTGTTTTCCCACAGAGCAGAAATGTAGGCAATTTCTGCCCTGAGGAGTTTACCTGAGAATTAAATGTTTTTCCTGAGGGCCTGGAATGCTATTAGTTACACATTCGGGTAGTGGTGAGCGCAGTGGGGCCTAATTTAATTGCAGGCTTTTAGATAAGCGTAATATAAATTTTAAATAACATAATAATTGTAATAATAATTCTGTCAGGAGATGGTGCAAACCCATTTTCCTGTGTCTATAGGCTAACAGTCCTTTTGGAAATTAGAGACTTCAGGGGAGAATGAGTTGAAATGATAATTGAAGGAAGCAATAAAACATGAATATGCTAAAATAGGGGATGAACTCCTAGGTTCTGGCTTTGTGAAAGGAAAATATGCTGTCCCCAGGTTTATCTTTCAATCTTTCAATCTTTCAATTGTGTTTCCTCAGTCATATATATATATATATTTATGTATTTATACACATTTATTTTTAATTAATTTTCATACTTATATTTTTATATATATGTATATATATTTCTCCTCTGTCCCATGTCCCCCCGCCCCCTTGGGCAGAAATGTGTGTTTTAAACCTGTGTTTGAGATTTCTGGATGTCCTGCTGAGACAAAGCTGCAGCAGTACAAAAGGGACGGGAGTGCCAAATGGACACAGCCCTCCCCAGCTTTGCCAGCTGCTTCTCGCAGGCCCCTCCGCAGTGGCTGGAAGTGGATTTTAGGGGTTAGGGACACAAAAACATTGTTGAGGGAAGGAGGGCTTGAGAGGAAGCACTGCAGTTACCAGATCCATGGAATCTGGGGTACACGCTTGGATTCCCAGCCTATTTCTGTACCTCTTTTTTATCACATTGGGGAGATACCAGCATAAGGAAAGTCAAGTATGTATAAATATATTCAGACTTGCATCTGATCATTTAACAAAATCATTATCAGAGATTTATAAAGGCTTCTGTCCAAACTTGTGGTGGGAAAGAAAGTACTGTTGAGCATTCAAAACTGTCAGAAAGCAAATATTACTACTATCTGGTTGACTTTCAACGTGACCAGGCTCATGCCTGCCCTTCACCACGTAGTGCCGTGCTGAGATACCACAGATACTCAAATTGAGGCAGCGAAGCAGCCTGCTGAGAAACAGGCAGTATAGGAGTTGAAGTGCGGTGCTAAACCAGTATAGAGGTGCTTGACTGTGTTTATACACACTGTGCAGGACAACGTAGATATATCCCAATTGTATACACTTCGAGTTGCCTCCTGTGGCAACATGGAATCTCAGAGAGACATGAATTAAAAGGGCATGTTAAAAATACCATTGATCTGGAAAGGGGTAAAATGATGTGGCAACATACAGAACGCATACCGTTATTTAATTTTGCTTACTGTGGAAGAGCCTCAGAGATGGCGAAGAGAAGGCTAACTTAAGTAGCTGAATAAATGCCACAGTGGCCAACGGGATTAATGCAGGGAAAGCATAACTGGATGCCAGTTTTTGTGTTATTCACACAACCTACTGGGATCTTAATTGGGTGCAACTGCTCAGAAAAAAAGATTCTGGCATTACTGTGGAAAGCTCAGTGGACAGCAGTGTTGAACAAAATGCTAGTGGGAAAGAAAAAATCAGGCT